TAAAAGAAAAGATGTAGTTAAAAATATCCAGTAATTCAACGTGGTTTTTGAAATTGAAAAAGATAAGAACATAAGGCAGGTAACATGATGTGGAGAAATTGGATCCATGACAGATTTCTATTGAAAAGACGGGAAGATTTGGAATATTAGTGGTAGACTTGACAATAAGAAATATCATGTGTGGTTGTCAATTTTCCAAGGCATTTAAAGTTTTGCTTGCTTCAGAGATCAACGTATGATATATAATTGATAATTTATAAGATATTTTTCTTAATTTAAATTGCACCCAGAAAACATCTAATTGAATGAAAAAAAAAATCCTCTGATTTATTCCTTGCAATTTGGTTGTAGAAATTGGAAAAGAAGATAAGAATGGGAAATGATATGAAAATGAATTTATTAATATTCCAATTTTTCTTTTAAAAGATGGGAAGACGTGGAAGTATTAAAAAACTTGACCATAAAAAAAATACATGGTTATAATTTTTTTAGACATTTAAATGTTTGTGTAATGGAAAATGATATGAAAATAAATACATTAATATTCCAATTTTTCCTCTAACAAATGGGAAGACTTGGAAGTATTAAAAGACTTGACCATTAAAAAAAATGGTTATATATTTTTTAGATATTTAAATGTTTGTGTAATGGAAAATGATATGAAAATGAAAGCATTAATATTCCATTTTTTTTCTGAAAAAGATGGGAAGATTTGGAAGTATTAGAAGTCCTGACCATAAAAAAAAATATATGGTTATAGATTTTTTTTAGACATTTAAATATTTGTGTACTTTTTGTTTTTCCAATATTTTCTAGTAAACACTTTATTTGTGATGATTTTCATTTTTGTTTTTCTATTTGCCAACAATGATTTTGATTTTTCACAACTTATGTACATCGTGACAATGTAATCTAAATAATAAAGACTTGATTTCTCCTTAAATAAATCGTGATGACAGTTTCATTTTGAAAATTTCATTTGTTTCGTTATTTCAAATTATAATATAATTTGAATTTGAGAGGGGGTATGATTTTGTGGTGTGTTTGGAGTAAATATAGCGAATGAATGCCAACTTTCTACAATAGTTGTTTTTGCCAACCTATAATGTGTGTGTGTGTGTAAAATTTGTTAGAATTAGATAGAGTTGAAGAAAACATAAATAATTAAATTTATATGTTAATTAAATATTTTGTATATAAAATCAATTTTCCCTTTGAATCTATAAAAGCCTGAATGTATAGTAATTCTTTTTTAATGTATAGTAAACTTTAAGGGTAAGGGATTTAATTTTGTTACACACACACATATTTATCCACTCACGTATATTTGGAAGGCATGCGAATGGGAAAGGAAAGAAGCAGTTAGCAATAAAGTTTTTTTTTTTTTGGGTTATATTCAATTTGATAAGAAATCGTATATAGGGTTTATTATTTTCGGCTCATAGTAAAATTTTGTCCAATTTCTTATGCCTAAAAATCAAACTTCAAACGACAAATATTTATTCAAACTTCAATGATCTGAATTAATTTATTCATTTCTGGACTAAAACAAAAATAAATAACATTAATTCACTTTGATTTCAATACGTGATGAGTGTGTCTGTGTATATTCCTTGTATAGTTTACAATAATATAAAATATAAAATTTATAATAATTTATTTTAATACGATTCATAAAATAGTGTTGATTATTCTTTAAGCTCACCATGCCATTCATAGGGCCCATATATAGGATTTGTTATGTTTTCAAACATGTTTAAAATTTAAAAAAAAAAATCACTGAGCTATAGGCCTTCAATAATATTTTTATACATAATTGTTTCCAGCTTTTACCAACCACATCCTAATTTTAAAAGTATCTAAATATATAATATATTGTATTATATCTGTGGTATTTTCTTATTCATAATATTTAAAAAAAGATGTAGTTAAAAATATACAGTATTCAATTTGGTTTTGGAAATTGAAAAGGATAAGAATACAAGTAAACATGTTGTGGAGTAATTGGAGTACGTTGGATGCATTCGTGACACGATTTCCATTGAAAAGACGGGAAGATTTAAAAATATTAGTAGTAGACTTGACAATAAGAAATATCATGTGTGGTTATCAATTTCTCAAGGCATTTAAATTTTTGCTTGCTTCAGATATCAACATATGATATATAATTTATAGCAACTTAGCAAGTCATGTTATTCTCATGTTAAGAACACAGCAGTTCTTTTCTTGTTTATTATATCATATGGTGCAGGCTGTGATATAATTTTGATACCAAAGGAGCCAACAAAAAATATGTGTGTCTCTTGCTATTTATCTACTTCTCCTTTTTCCCCCTTTGGCAATTGTTATCGGGTTTCATAAATCATTTATAGAAGAGGTAAGTTTAAATCTGCAAATCTACTGTAATTTGAGTCTCTCTCAATGAAACGAGGACGTTTTGTCTTTGAGGCTTTCAAGGTTTTTGTATGCTTGGAGCCTTGGACAACCCTTGGACCTCTGGTGTTACCAGTGGAGCAACTTAACATTGCCTTCCTAAGACAACCCGTGACGATAGTTTTTTGCCTTCAAAATTTCTTTAATTTACTCATATATTAACCCTTTTCTTCTTTTTTGGTTTTTTTTAGCCACGCATAATTATCCTCTTATTAGAAATATTGCTAGGCACTAAATGTAAGTACTTTTTTTAGTGGAGATTTAAATTTTAGTTTATCACATTGTGAGAGACTTTTTTTTTTTTTGTAATCTCGTTGATTTTTCCATCTTTTCTGTTTGGTGTGAAAGCATCAAGAACCAACATACATGGGCGCTGAAAGGCCCACTCTTGTTCTACAACGTACAGAAGTATAAATGACGGCCTCACCGCTATTTAAAAAAAAAAGAACACACACACACACAACCCCAGAAGAAAAGATCGCACAACAAAGTAGAATTTTGAATTGGGCATTTGGCCAAAACAAAAAATAAATTGTGCAGAGTTTTGATTTAGTGCCTCTTTCAAAAGGTGTGAATGATTTTTTTTTCTGAAAAAAATATCCCACACAGGTTTCGCCAACGGGCCTTTATAATAAGAGACATTTGGTTACGTGCATGATAGAAAAATCATCATAAAATAATTAAAATGTGTTGTTCATCGAGAATCTGTTGTTTCAATTAATGCCACAGTATATTACATTACTTCCCCTCCTTTCTATTTCCGTTATTATCATTAAGTATCTGTGTTTTAACTGGTAAATTGCACCAGTACCAATTTAACTAGAGGTGAGAATCTCTTTTACCATGAAATTGAAAGAGATGATAAGAATGGAAGGCTTATGGTGGGTTCCATTAATGAGTAGAAAGATGGAAATTGAGTATAGCTTGGGACAAAGACTTTACAAGCGTCATAAATGGGGCAATGTTTTCAATAAGTTTAGCTGTAGGATTTTGCCATTAAAGATATTGTTTGCGCTTAATATTTGGTCGCAACACAAAGATTTTTTTTTTATCGCTGCTAGAAGTCGTCGCCTAAAGTCTTTTTTTTTTTGTAATGTATCGTATACCATCCCACTAAAATAATGAATTAATTTTTTTTTCCACCAGCGTGTAATTTACTTTCCTTCTCTTTTTCCCCAGTGAATTGTTCATTAAGAAAATTAAAACAAATCACCTATAGAGCATAATATTTATTGTTATAAAAAAGAGCATAATATTTCTTGAGAATGACCATAAAAATTATAATTATTTACAAAAACTAAATTAAAATATAAATTTAAAAATACTAAATTGCTACCCATCAATCTTCCTGTGTTATTCTTCCTTACCTTCAGAATTTTTTTTAATAAAATAAATTAAAACTGCCCATTACATACGTAACTATAATTTTTTTAAAAAAAAAAGTTCTTATTTTCCACGGTGGACGTCATTCTTGCTGATAGCAACTCTTTCGTTGCGTTTTTCCCTCCATTTTGGGAGGGCATGTCTACTTCTACATATCCCGACTTTGTTATTTTCGAAAGTTATGTGCAATTTTTCTTTGAAAAAGTATATCAATTAAACTTAATTTTTAGGCCGCGGTAAAAGATTTGCAATTTGTTTTTATCCTCATAATAATTATCTCCAGGAAGTTTCCATATAAATCAAACTTATGATGCAAAAATGAATATATATTCCAAGATTATATACAAAATTGATTAATTTTTTCATTTCCTAGCTACAGTAAAAAATAATTATATTTATTTCAATGAATAAATCGTTGATTTACGTTTGAATAACTTACAAACATTCTTGTTTTGAAATTAAAAAAAAAATCCCCCCAAACTATTGAATTTCAAGATTTATATGATCGTGCGTCGTATCCCTGTCACACCTTGTCCCTGATGTTGTTAATATGAACTGAACATAAAAATTCTAACCTTCAGTGAATGGTTGTATTATACGTCATGGAAAAATAAAATGTTTAACTTCTTGTTTAAGAAACTTTTACTTTTTGAAGCGTTCAAATGATTTGACTGTGGAAATTTAAAAACACGATGAGTTGTTAAAATGAATTTATTAATGTTTCAAATTTTCTTTGAAAAGATGGAAAGACTTGGAAGTATTAGAAGAGCTAAGACCATCGAAAAGAAATGGTTACAAGAAAAATAAACAAAATGAATTCACTTTCACTTCAATATGTATCTGCATATATGCTCCTTCAATAAATAATAAAAACATAGTAATAATTAAACTCCATGCCATTCGTGAAGCCCATATGGGACTTGTTTTCTTTGCAAGCATTTTTAAAATTAAAAAAAAAAAAATCACTAGGCTATCGGCCTTCACAATGAATATCATGTGGTTATAAAGTTTTAAGCATTTAAACTTTTGTTTACTTCAGATTTTCCAGTATATATACACACATATATATCATGTAAAGGCTTCATTAGGCCATTATACTCAAACTTGCCACAATGGCCAGCATCGCTTCACGAATTTCTTTTGTTTTGTTGTTTCTGCTATTTGCAACAACATTCAACAGAAAGATGGCTATGTCAAACAGGTTCATGCGTTGCAATGAAAATGACAAAAGGCTACTTTTAATCTTCAAACAAGGAGTGGTTGATCCAGACAACAAACTCTCTTCTTGGACAGTTGAAGAAGATTGCTGTGTATGGGAGGGAGTTCACTGCGATCACATCACTGGAAGAGTCACAAAGCTTTCTCTTTCCACCACTTACACATTAGGAGGTGACATTAATCTGTGTGCGCTTCAACTTGAATTTCTCAACAGCTTGGACTTGAGCAAAAATGACTTCAAAACTGTGAGTATGCCACCATGCCAAATCTCCAAATCTCTCTTTGATGCTCACAAATTTCACAACCAATCACTCGCTACTCTTTCCAATCACTCAGCAAATTTCTCTGTTGCTCTTCGTTATCTTGACATTTCATATAATGATGATTTATTCATAAATGACCTTCATTGGCTTTCTCAACTTTCTTTCTTGAAATATCTTGACCTCAGTGGCATTCGTATTGAAAATGATACCAAATAGCTCCAGCATATAGCCATGCTTCCTTCACTCTCTGAGTTAGCCTTGGCGTCTTGTGGACTCACAAATTTTCCGTCTGGTGATTATGTCAATTTTACGTCACTTACAGTTCTTGTTCTTTCTTTTAATCATATGGTGAAGTTACCTGATTCATTGTTTAATATCACCCATCACATCTATCATCTTGACCTTAGGGGCTGCAATTTCCATGGCCAATTACCAAAGTCCTTGTTCAATCTTCAGAACCTCAAGTATTTAGATTTTAGTTCTAATAATCTTGAAGGATCAATTCCAGATTGGTTTGGCCAATATGAACAGTTGCAATTGTTGGATATCGGTCAGAATTTGTTCCATGGCGTAATTCCATCATCTCTTGGAAATATTTCTTCCTTGTCCGTCTTAGACTTGTCCTGCAATCAATTGAATGGCAATCTTTCTGAAAAGAACTTGGCCAATCTTTCAAGTTTAACATTTTTGGACTTAAGTTCAACAAGTTTCAAACTTCACTTTGATCCTAAATGGGTCCCACCATTTCAACTTGAGACATTGGTGGTGAGTAACACAAGCATAGGTCCTAATATTCCACCATGGCTATAGACACAGCGGTCTTTACGTTGTTTGGATATTTCCGCATTAGGAATTTCAAACATTGATGCAGATGTGTTTTGGAGCTTTATATCAAGAATTGATAGTGTTGATATTTCAAAAAACGTGATTGGTGGTCATAACATATCCAAGATCATACTGTCAGCAAATATCTCCCACTTTGTTGCATCTTACAACTCTTTGTCAGGATCTATTTTCTCATTACACTACAAAAAAACAGACTTTAGGCGACGACTTTCGGCGGCGACAAAAAAAGTCGCCGCTGAAAGTCCACTTTCAGCGGCGACACCAAAAAGTCGCCGCTGAAACTAAGACTTTCAGCGGCGACAAAAGTGTCGCCGCTGAAAGTGGACCTTCAGCGGCGACTTTTTTTGTCGCCGCCGAAAGTGGACTTTCAGCGGCGACATTTTTAGTCGCCGCTGAAAGTTCGCCATTGAAACCAAGACTTTCAGCGGCGACAAAGGTGTCGCCGCTGAAAGTGGACCTTTAGCGGCGACTTTTTTTGTCGCCGCCGAAAGTGGACCTTCAGCGGCGACTTTTTTTGTCGCCGCCGAAAGTGGACCTTCAGCGGCGACTTTTTTAGTCGCCGCTGAAAGTTCGCCATTGAAACCAAGACTTTCAGCGGCGACTTTTTTTGTTGCCGCCGAAAGGGGACCTTCAGCGGCGACTTTTTTTGTCGCCGCCGAAAGTGGACCTTCAGCGGCGACTTTTTTAGTCGCCGCTGAAAGTTCGCCATTGAAACCAAGACTTTCAGCGGCGACTTTTTTTGTCGCCGCCGAAAGTGGACCTTTAGCGGCGACTTTTTTGGTCGCCGCTGAAAGTGGACCTTCAGCGGCGACTTTTTTTGTCGCCGCTGAAAGTATAATATAATAATATATATTTTATTTTACAATATTAATAAACAAATTCAATCTGGCTCAGCGGCAAGAAGGTTGGACACGAAAGGAGGCGGTCACGAGTTCGAACCTGGAAGAAGACACATTTAAGGTGAAAATATTTGGACGATGACGTGGCGAGGAGGAGTGATGTGGCAATGACGTGGAGGTGGCTAGTGATGATGTGGCGGTCGGCGGTGATGATGTGGCCGCCGATGGCGATGACGTGGAGGTCGACGGTGATGACGTGGCGGCCGGAGATGATGACGTGGCACCGACAGCGATGACGTGGCATTGGTAAAGCCAATTCTTCTTAGGCATTACTTTCAGCGGCGACAAAAAAGTCGCCGCAGAAAACACTTTCGGCGGCGACATTTGTCGCCGCCCAAAAGTCTTTTAGCGGCGACAAGAGTGTCGCCGCCGAAAGTGTTTTCTGCGGCGACTTTTTTGTTGCCGCTGAAAGACTTTTCGGCGGCGACAAATGTCGCCGCTGAAAGTGTTTTCGGCGGCGACATTAGTCGCCGCCGAAACTTCTAAAAGTCGCCGCTGAAAGTATCTTTTAGCGGCGACCTTTTTAGTCGCCACTGAAAGTTTTCAGCCACAGCTGCTACGGCAACGACTTTTCAGCGGCGACTTGTCGCCGCAAAAAACTTTCGGCGGCGACTTTTGTACTTTCAGCGGCGACTTTTGTCGCCGCTGAAAGTCAATTTTTTTGTAGTGTTATTGTGCCATTAAGAGAGTGAAAACTTGGAGGTGTTGGATTTATCATAAAATAATTTGAGTGGAACACTTCCTGATTGTTGGGACAATTGGAAAAGATTAAGATACCTTAGTTTGGGGAGTAACAAGCTAACAGGTAAAGTCCCTCCCTCATTGACTTCATTGAATCTTGAAATGTTGGATTTAAGTGACAATGGTTTCTTTGGAAAATTTTCATTAGACAATCTAACTTGGACAAATTTGGAATACTTGCTTTTAGAGCGAAATAAGTTTTCTGGAAGTTTGCCAATTCCCATGGCGGAGCATTTGGTAGTTATTAAATTGTGGACCAATCAATTTAGTGGCAATATTCCAACAATCTTGTGTAAATTTTCTTATTTGAGTATACTCGATCTTGCTGAAAATAAGCTTTCTGGATCCATACCTCACTGCCTACACAACATCGCAGATTCAACTTATATGATAGGTGCGTCTGCTGACATAGTGCACATATCTACTAAAGGAAAAAAATTAGACTATCGAGTTGATAGTTTTCTAAGTTTTGAACGAGGCATTGTTGATCTTTCTGCTAATAGCTTCTCTGGAGAAATTCCTGAAGAACTGGTTAGTATGACTAAAATATTATCCTTGAACTTGTCTCGAAACTATTTGACTGGAAAAATTCCCAAAGAAATTGGAGGCATGAAAAACTTAGAATCTCTTGATCTCAGCTACAATAAACTTCTCAGAGAAATTCCTTCAACCATCTCTAATGTGTCATTTCCTGCTTATTTGAACCTCTCATACAACAATTTCATTGGACAAATTCCATCGGGAACCCAAATTCAAAGTTTTGATTCTTGGTGTTTTCTTGGCAATCCCAAACTTTGTGGAGATCCTCTTCCAAAGAAGTGTAACAAAAAGGAAGAAACTCATGGCTCAAAGGTAGCTGAAGAAGATGAAAATGACAGCTTTCTAAAGTCATTGTATCTTGGTATGGGGGTTGGATTTGCAGTGGGCTTTTGGGGAGTTTGTGGTTCTCTCTTCCTGGTTAGAGCATGGAGGCACAAATTTTTCCGATGGATTGGTCACTTGGCAGATCAACTTTATGTTGCCTTGGCCCTCTATTTAAAAAGCTTTGGTTGAATATCTATAACAAGTTTCCCTTGAGGTAATAAATTAAACTAGCTGCCTTAATTTTTCAAGTATTATATTGTTGTCATTCAGATTAGGTTTTACTTTTCTTTTGCTTATATCTTCTTCTACTCGCTAAAAATTTTTGTTCTTAGCTGATTATGTTTTATCTCGTTTATTTTTCAGTATGGGATGCAAGTGAAATAGCTATCACTACTCTGATCATTCCTCTCATTCAAATATTGAGTTTTGCCTCAAGGAATAAGGAGTTTTGCTGCTGTTACGCATGTTCAAGGACTCAGATGTTGCCTATTGATCAATGTCCTTTTGTTATCTTAAATATAATGAATTGTAAGAATGGAACATGTTGTAATAGTGTTTCATATTAAGAAACTTTTGATAAATAGTGTTTCATGTGATTACTCTATTCCACATACTGGAGATGCTCTGTTTCATTTTGGGTTATCCTGTATGAAATAACAGAGTCATTAACAAATAATAGGGTTTAAGAGATCCCTTACTTACACTTGAACTGTTGTATTAATTAGTTTTTGGACTTAGCCATTCCCTATTTTGATTTGTAGAATTTTCGAGAAATCCCCTTTACAAGGGAGATTTTGTCAAAATTTCTACAAAAAGCTAGTGACTTTATTTTATGAAATATTTTCCAAGACTTTATATTTTGTATTGTAAGTCAGTCTAGATATACGAATCAAGAAGTTTATTCATATCAGGCCTAAAGAATATGGTCTTCTCATATTTCAGCCGGTCACACCTTATCTTTTGAATTGTGAGTGTGACATCTATCTTGGTTTGTTCAGTGTTTTTTCAAAAAAATGCTGCTATAGCAAGAAACGAGTAACAAAATTCATACGTAATAATAAGATTATATGGGATATTATTTGTAAAACTGTCCGGCCAAAAAAAGAAAAATTATTGGTAAAACTGTTGCTTGGTTCCTCTAATTGACATTATTGAGGCAAAATGATTGGTGGGCCAGCACAGCATTAATATAAATATAAAATACTACCTTCTATTTTAAATATATGAGGTTTTATATTTAGGACCGAACATAATAATGTAAGCATTATAATCAGTCCCACTATTAAACAATGTTGAATAACAGTGCATTTTTTTTGGGGTAACAGTAATTAATTTTGTAGTTAACAAGCAGACGCATGATGGTCAGCTGCACTTCAAAAACTTCATTTGTTTTCTTGTTTCTTTTGCTTGCAATAACGTTCGATAGAGGCATATGTAAAACAAACAATGTGATTCGTTGCAACGAGAATGATCGAGGACCACTCCTGATCTTCAAACAAGAAGTGGTGGATCCTTTAAACAAACTCTTCATGGACTAGTCATGAAGATTGTTGTTTGTGGTCTGGAGTTCTGTGTGATATCAATGGCAGAGTTGCAGAGCTTGATCACTTCTCATTCACTTGGACTTGAGCCATAATCGATTTAAATCTGTGAGTATTCCGCAACGCCAAGTCTCCAAATCTTCTCCTCTGCTTCACCTAGATTGTTCACATAATTATCATTTGCGAATAAATGATCCTCATTGGATTTCTCAACTTTCTTTCTTAAAATATTTGGACCTCAGTTACTCTAATGTTGGAAATGAAACCAACAGGCTCCAATATATCTCCTTGATGCTTTCACTTTTTGAGTTACACCTGAGCAGTTATGACTTGAGACATTTTCCATCCCTCAACTACGTCAATTTTACATCATTGGTAACTCTTGATCTTTCTCACTACATACTCAACTCAGAATTACATAGTTCACTCTTTGATTTCACCCAAAAACTATCTCATCTTGATCTTTGTGACAACGATTTCTATGGTCAAGTACCAAAGAACCTGTTGAAGCTTCCAAATCTTAAAAGTTTAAGGCTGAGCTTTAACAACCTTAGAGGTTCAATTCCTGATTGGTTTTGCCGACATGAACAGATGCAGTATTTTGAAATCTATGGTAATTTGTTCAACGGCTCTATTCCATCATGTCTTGGAAATATTTCTTCCTTGATTTCCTTAGATTTGTCCCATAATCATTTCAGTGGAAATCTTCCCAAAACCTTGGAGAGCTCCATAACTTAGAATCTTTCGGCATTGGTGGCAATCATCAAGTGGGAGTTATTTCAAAAAGAAATTTTACCAGACTCTCAAAATTAACATGGTTAGACTTGAGTTCAAGTGGTTTCAAATTTAACTTTGATCCTAAATAGGTCCCACCATTCCGACTTGCGCATTTGAATTTGAGTAACACAAATACAGGGCCGAATATTCTAACATGGCTATATACACAGTAGTCTCTAGAATATCAGACATTTCTAAATGAGGAATTTCAATAATTGATGCTGATGTATTTTGGAGCTTTGTAGCAGGAATTCATTATGTTGATTTGTCAAACAACATGATTAGTGATGACATATCCAATGTCACACTGTCAACAAATATCTCTTACTTTGATGTATCTCACAATTCTTTGTCAGGCTCTATTTTCTTGTTATTGTGCCAACTAGACAGTGACAAGGAAAGCATACTGTCTTATTTGGACTTATCACATAGTCATTCAAGTGGAGTAATTCCTGACTGTTGGGTTAATCGGAAACGATTAGAATACCTTAATTTGAGGGGTAATGAGCTCGAGGGTAAAGTTCCTGCTTCCATGGCCTCATTGAATCCTTGGATATTGGATTTACCTGATAACAATTTCTTTGGCTAATTTTCATTAGACATATCAGATTAGACAAATTTGCAATACCGTCTTTTGGAGGGAAAGGAATTCTCTGGAACCTTGCCAACTACAATGCCTCCACGTGTGGTAGTTTTCAAGTTGAGGGCCAACCCATATATTGGCGAGATTCCATTACAATTGTGCAATCTCACTTCTCTTATTATACTAGATCTCAATGATAACAAGCTTTTTGGATCCATACCTCATTGCCTATATAACATCGTGGATTCAACTCATCAGTTTTTGTGGGCAGAAACGGAAGAGAAGCAGATTATGCTGACATTTTGCTTTTGTGAATAATCGATCTTTCCTCTAACAATTTGTCTAGAGAAATTCCTATGGAACTGTTTAGTATGATCAAATGCAGTCCTTAAACTTGTCTTAAACCATTTGAGTGCAAAGATTCCCAAAGAAATTGGAGGTATGAAAAACTTGGAATCTCTTGATCTCAGCCACAATAGACTTTATGGAGAAATTCCTTCAACCATCTCTAATATATCTTTTCCTGCTTACTTGAGCCTCTCATACAACAATTTCACTGGACAAATGCCTTTAGGGACTCATTCAGAGTTTCGATTCTTGGTGTTTTGTTGGCAATCTTTAACTTTGTGGAGACCCTCTTCCAGATAAGTGTAACAAGGAAGAAGTTCACAACTTGAAGCCGGCTGAAGAAAATGAAGACGATGTCTTTCTCGAGTCATTGTATCTTGGAATGGGAGTTGGATTCGTAGCAGGCTTTTGGGGAGCTTGTGGTTCTCTCTTTCTCATTAGATTAGAGCATGGAGACATAGATTTTTCCGATTATTTGACAGTGTGGTTGATCAACTTTATGTCAACGTGGCCCTCATGCTTAAACATTTCGGTCTAGTATTTGGAACAAATTAAGTTGCCATTGAGGTAATGGATTAACTATCATATATTTCAAAAAAAAGTCGTATCTCTCCTTTATTTGCATGAAAGTTTTTCTTCTTTTTTCTTCTTTTAGTTAAACAATTTAGTTCTTTACTGGTTTTTTCTTATGTCGTATATTATTCAGCATGCTTTGTCTACGGGACGCAAGAGCAGCAGATGAGGCAGTGGGTGCAGCCTCTTTGAATAGAGGTGAATTGTGAGAAGAGAACATGTAATAATGGTCACTAGTGTGCGTGTGTGCCCCATGTCATTAGGAAACTTTTTGATCTGATTTTGATGAATAGTGTTCCACGTGATTGCTCTCTGTTCCATTTTGGTTTATACTGTTTGGAATAGCAGAGTCAAGTCTTGGTTATTAAATAACGAAGTTTGCTCATTTGATTGATCCAATTACATTATTGAGGCACAATCATTTGCATGTTTCTGCACTGTAGGGGGCATTAATATCACTATAGAATAGTATAAAAAGCTTATATTCCCTACCTATTCTTTCCATGAAAAAAAAAAAAAAAAAGTATCAGCAGCCACATTGAATTATTGATGATTCACATTATATCCACACCGATCTTAAATAATCCCCGTCTTTTTTATGCGTCTTCCTTGGCTGCCTTTTTCTGTCCAAACTACCTTGTTTTCGGTGGAAAGAATGGAGCATTCAATGGGTTTTTAGAAGCACCCAGTATCCTAATAATTTTTAATATACTTAGTACCCTAAATTATTTCTCTAATAGCACTCAGCATCTTATCCTAAAATATAGTCGGCACCCAAAAATACTTTTTTTAAGAGCATCTACTATTCTAAAATAATTTTTGACAACACCAATAAAATATTATTTCAGTAGCACCCAATATTCTAAAAATATACTCAACACTCTTAATATATTTTTTTCAAGAGCACCCAATATCTTAAAATAACTTTTGGTGCAGCACTTTGAAATGTTTTTTCAGAAAACATATAGTATCCAAAAATAATTTTAGGTTTGGGTAACACTGTGTTGCTAAGTGTATTTTTAAGGTATACTATTAAATTTAATATAATTTAAAGACAATTATACGTATCATATAGTATCCAAAAATAATTTTAGGTTTGGGTAACACTGTGTGCTAAGTGTATTTTTAAGGTATACTATTAAAATTAATATAATTTAAAGACAATTATACGTATGGTTACACCAGAAAAAGTTATGTATCTTTACAATACTAGTATTTACTACCCCCCGCAATGCATGAGATGCATTAACATTACTGAAAGAAAAAGTCTAAAACACTTTCAAAGCAACTTCAACAGAACAAAACGGCATAATACATATATGCTATCATTACAATCAGAATTTATACACAATTAATGATATTCACCA